CTAAATCGTTTGGTATAAATTGATATCAATAGAGCAATCTTTCTTAATGCCTCCCTACGTCACGCATAAACTAGAGTTCGTAAAATGCGTATCTTTAGTAGTGGCAGTAAAGCCTGATTTTCATGGCGGGTTAATACGAAAAAATTGACTATAAGTGATTTAGGTTAAGAAGAGGCCACGGAGAGGCCTCACGTACGACATGCATTTATCCAATCGATTTTTTAGGATTTGCCAAGAGTTAACAAAACCTTAAGCGATGTTATTAAGTTGAAAATTCTTTAAATTATTTACTATTTGGCGAAGAAAGAAAGAAAAAAAAATGTCGTGCTTTTTATTCTCATTAAAGTTTAAAATACGTTTTCCTATGTTTTAAACTCCAGTTAGTCATTAGATCAAATTTGTACAATTTTCCTGCTAATGTGAATCAGAAATGACTCAATTTCGTGTCTTTTCATCAGCTTCTCGAAAATGGATATTTATGTGTTATCTAAATATCGAGTTTAATTTTTTATCCAGCTGCAGGAAAATGGTTCAAAACTACACTTTAATGTACGTATGCTTAGTTCAAAAGCAATTTCATGGGGGTTAAAAGGTGCTTCAATTTTCTGAAGAATTTCATTGAATTTTTTTAACATTTATTCGTTCGACCGGAGTGCGGCGAGCTAATTTTGCTCAACAGTAAAACAGCTTCACACTATCATCTTGTTTTTTTTTTTTTTTTGGCTCATTTTTAAGACGCTCTGCTCTGACTGAATTAATAAATGTCGAAAATAATTTTTTCTAAGATAATATATATAGAAACTTATATATATATAACTACGTCCATAATTCTAATATATATATATATATATATATATGTTCGATTTGCGATTTTTATTTGCAAAATCGATTTATTTGGCAAATCTAGTGAAGGGCATTAAAAAGTTCGCCACAAGCTGAATATAATTTTCTTATATAGACTTTTTACCGGCATGTAATTGCTTGTTCGTTGTTAAGCGGCAATAACAGAATTATAGTGAAATTACTCTTATCGCGTGTATTTTATTCTCATCGATAATTTTTTATAATATTTGAAAACAATCGATTAGATATTCATTTTATTTTCTTTTCGGGGGAATGCATAAAAAAATCGAATTGTAACGGTATCAAGAAAATGCAACCACTTTAGTAACAAATATTACTGTTTTCGAAACGGTACGCTTGCGGTGCGCATCGATTAATTTCAACATAAAACGTAAGGATCTTCAATGAGAAAAAAGAATTTTTTTTATTATTTTATTGCTTCAAGTGAAAAATTCAGTGCTACAAACACTGTACGGTATATTCTTACAAATAATAAGTAGAATGGATATCGGGATTTAAAAGCATTTTTCAGTTAAAATCAATTTGTCGACAAAGATTCGGTACAAATATGATTTCAATAGCGAATCGATTTAATTGCATTTAGACTTGAGGGAAATAGACGCGTTCGCTAACTCGAATTTAAGAATGGGAATTCGTATGTAAAATCTCGAAGCAAAAAGTCAAAGTGAAAAATCTTTAAAAATGTTGAAGAAAAAAAAATAAATAAAAATTTCAAATCGTTTTTACCGAATCTATCATGAAATCGTAAATTCTCTAAGTTACTGCAGAGTGTCGTAGAGTGTCAATGTTAAGCATGCCATTCTGTGTAAAGCTATTTGTTGTGAATATTGATCGTGTTTTTTCGTAACGATTTGGTAAACTATGCTAACTAAAGAAGCAATGAGGGCTTCATCTCTACACCTTTAAGATGTCGTTGAATTTTCATTGCATTGTAAAGATCTATGTTCATATTCGAAAAATAGTTCTAGGCAAAGAACTGCTCTCACTTGAAAAATTATTCAAAAATTAAGCATATTTAGTAGTTGGACGGACGTGCTTCAGGTGTTTAAAAAATTTGAAATCTCATAATAGAAATAGTTTTAGTTATATGCACACAAATAATTGATGCTGGATGACTATGACATTTATATGTGAACTTTTGTCTCCTCAAGGCTCAATATTTTTTAGATAACTTGCGCTATGCAAAATTTTGGAAAAAACTTTTTCCTTTTTCATCATTCGAGTATCAATTTAAAATTTTTTTATTTAATATTTTGTATCGTGAAATTGCTTTTTATGCGGATAGTGTATGTGTGTGCGTGTGTCTAGGGATCTTAATCATTTTTAAACTCCATAAGTTAAGATATTAATCTTTTATCGGATTCATTTCTCGTTAACACTTAAAAAGTATTTCTCATGGGCTTTGGTGCTTTTCTTCTTTTTTTTTTTTTTTAGCAAAATAATGAACTTGAAGAAGTTTTTTTATTGCTTCTGCAGAATGACTCGCAAATCATTAAGCAAGATAAACTATATGCATTTTGGATTAGGCTATGGAATATTATTTGATATATGCAATAAAAGTGACTTGTTTTCTTGTATCGAGCCTTTCAAGTCAGTGCGTAGGAGACATTTTAAATACCTCTCATAAATGTTTTTC